CACTCTCTTCACCTTTCTTTTACTGTCCATATACTCTGCTTTTCTTATAACACTTCTGCTTTGTAAAAACCTCTCATAAGCTAACTTTTTCTCTTTTATCACACCCTTTACTTCATCATTCCACCAATCACTCCTCTTTCCACCTGCCCCCACCCTCCTATAACCACAAACTTCTGCCCCACATTCTAATACTGCATTTTTAAAACTATTCCATTCCTCTTCAACCCCCCAACTACTCATCTTTGCACTAGCCCACCTTTCTGCCAACAGTCGCTTATATCTCCCCCGAACTTCCTCCTCCCTTACTTTATACACTTTCACATCCCTCTTACTTGTTGTTGCCACCTTCCTCTTTTCCCATCTACCTCTTACTCTAACTGTAGCTACAACTAAATAATGATCCGATATATCAGTTGCCCCTCTATAAACATGTACATCCTGGAGCCTACCCATCAACCTTTTATCTACCAATACATAATCTAACAAACTACTTTCATTACGTGCTACATCATACCTTGTATATTTATTTATCCTCTTTTTCATAAAATATGTATTACTTATTACCAAATCTCTTTCTACACATAGCTCAATTAAAGGCTCCTCATTTACATTTACCCCTGGCACCCCAAATTTACCTACTACTCCCTCCATAACATTTTTACCCACTTTAGCATTGAAATCCCCAACCACCATTACTCTCACACTTGATTCAAAACTCCCCACGCATTCACTCAACATTTCCCAAAATCTCTCTCTCTCTCCTCTACACTTCTTTCTTCTCCAGGTGCATACACACTTACTATAACCCACTTTTCACATCCAATCTTTATTTTACTCCACATAATCCTTGAATTAATACATTTATAGTCCCTCTTTTCCTGCCATAGCTTATCCTTCAACATTATTGCTACTCCTTCTTTAGCTCTAACTCTATTTGAAACCCCTGACCTAATCCCATTTATTCCTCTCCATTGAAACTCTCCCACCCCCTTCAGCTTTGTTTCACTTAAAGCCAGGACATCCAGCTTCTTCTCATTCATAACATCCACAATCATCTCTTTCTTATCATTTGCACAACATCCACGCACATTCAGACTTCCCACTTTGACAATTTTCTTCTTATTCTTTTTAGTAATCATTACAGGAAAAGGGGTTACTAGCCCATTGTTCCCGGCATTTTAGTTGACTTTTTCAACACGCATGGCTTACGGAGGAAAGATTCTTAATCCACTTCCCCATGGATATAAAAGGATAAGTAATAAGACCAAGAACTATTAAGATAAAATCAAAGAAAACTCAGATGAGTGTGTATAAATAAACGTGTACATGTATGTGTAGTGTGACCTAAGTGTAAGTAGAAGTAGCAAGACATACCTGTAATCTTGCATATTTATGAGACAGACAAAAGACACCAGCAATCCTACCATCATGTAAAACAATTACAGGCTTTTGTTTTACATTCACTTGGCAGGACGGTAGTACCTCCCTTGATGGTTACTGTCTACCAACCTACTATGTATGGAAGAAGTAAATGTTTTCAGATACTTGGGAGTTGACGTGTCGGCGGATGGATTTATGAAGGATGAGGTTAATCATAGAATTGATGAGGGAAAAAAGGTGAATGGTGCATTGAGGTATATGTGGAGTCAAAAAACGTTGTCTATGGAGGCAAAGAAGGGAATGTATGAAAGTATAGTAGTACCAACACTTTTATATGGGTGTGAAGCTTGGGTGGTAAATGCAGCAGCGAGGAGACGGTTGGAAGCAGTGGAGATGTCCTGTCTAAGGGCAATGTGTGGTGTAAATATTATGCAGAAAATTCGGAGTGTGGAAATTAGGAAAAGGTGTGGAGTTAATAAAAGTATTAGTCAGAGGGCAGAAGAGGGGTTGTTGGGGTGGTTTGGTCATTTAGAGAGAATGGATCAAAGTAGAATGACATGGAAAGCATATAAATCTATAGGGGAAGGAAGGCGAGGTAGGGGTCGTCCTCGAAAGGGTTGGAGAGTGGGGGTAAAGGAGGTTTTGTGGGCAAGGGGCTTGGACTTCCAGCAAGCGTGCGTGAGCGTGTTAGATAGGAGTGAATGGAGACGAATGGTACTTGGGACCTGACGATCTGTTGGAGTGTGAGCAGGGTAATATTTAGTGAAGGGATTCAGGGAAACCGGTTATTTTCATATAGTCGGACTTGAGTCCTGGAAATGGGAAGTACAATGCCTGCACTTTAAAGGAGGGGTTTGGGATATTGGCAGTTTGAAGGGATATATTGTGTATCTTTATACGTATATGTTTCTAAACTGTTGTATTCTGAGCACCTCTGCAAAAACAGTGATTATGTGTGAGTGTGGTGAAAGTGTTGAATGATGATGAAAGCATTTTCTTTTTGGGGATTTTCTTTCTTTTTTGGGTCACCTTGCCTCGGTGGGAGACGGCCAACTTGTTGAATAATAAATATATATATATATATATATATATATATATATATATATATATATATATATATATATATATATATATTATATATATATGCAATAAGATCACAGTAAACATGTGATTTCAGAATATGCAAAACAACCACTCTGAAAGAATAGAGAAATTCCAAGCGCTTTCGTGACTACTCACATTATCAAGGAACTATAAAAGTAAAGCATCCAAGGAAGCTATATAAGGGGTCTGGCCCGCACCTCACTATCAGATCCCACAACGGTTAAACACCTGACGCGCGCCGACCCAACTTGGATAGGTCCTTTGCACAACTCACCCACAAACTATTCTACCCAAGAAAATTTAAAAATTATTATTTGTCCAGTGTATTATTAAATTCTTCCCAAATTCTATTAATTATAAATGGATCTAATTTATATAAACCAAAGGAAATATTTCATATTATTGTCAAAACTGCTTTTTATGAAAAAGATTCAATTATATCCTGTCGACCATGGACTTGCTTGATACTACTTTCTCAACTTTTTGAAAATCAATTGGATGGTTAAAATCTCTTACATGAATAAATAGAGCATTGGAATCTTGTCCAGTTCTAATGCTATATTTATGTTGTTTTAATCTTAGTTCGAGATTTTTACCAGTTTGACCGTAATAAACTTTATCGCAAATTTTACAAGGAATCTTATAGACACATCCATCAGCATTTTGGGGGGAATTCTTTATCAAAAGTTTTTTTACTGTATCAAGATTTTTGAATACAACTTTAATATTAAAAGTCTTAAGAAGAGAAGGCATATCAACCAAGTTTTCATGGTAAGGGAGAACCAACATATTTTTAGTTGAATAAGGCTGGCTGTCCCTTTTTGGATTGTAAAACGTGTTTCTAGCAACTTTAAAAGATTTATCAATTACATTTCTTGGGTATTTTTTGTGCAAAGGACCTATCCAAGTTGGGTCGGCGCGCGTCAGGTGTTTAACCGTTGTGGGATCTGATAGTGAGGTGCTGGCCAGACCCCTTATATAGCTTCCTTGGATGCTTTACTTTCATAGTTCCTTGATAATGTGAGTAGTCACGAAAGCGCTTGGAATTTCTCTATTCTTTCAGAGTGGTTGTTTTGCATATATATATATATATATAATATATATATATATTATATATATATATATATATATATATATATATATATATATATATATATATATACAGTGGAACCTCAAATATCAAACAGCTCCCAACTCAACCAATTATGTAAGTATATTTTTGTAAGTGCTTCTGTAAGTGTATTTTTGAGGGTTTGAAATGAACTAATCTAATTTGCATTACTCCTGATGGGAATAAATTTGTTCCGTAACGGCACTCGAACAGCCGTATGGAATGAAGAAAGTTCGATATCTGAGGTTCTACTGTATGTATGTATATATATATATATATATATATATATATATATAATATATATATATATATATATATATAATATATATATATATTATATGCAATACGATCACAGTAAACTGGTGATATCAAGATATGCAAAACAACCACTGTGAAAAGAAAGTGAAATTCCAAAGGTTTTCGTGACTTCTCACATCCTCATAGTTCCTTGATAATGTGAGAAGTCACGAAACGCTTGGAATTTCACTTTCCTTTCACAGTGGTTGTGAGCAGGGTAATATTTAGTGAAGAAATTCAAGGAAACCGGTTATTTTTATATAGCAGGACTTGAGTCCTGGAAATGAGAAATACAATGCCTGTACTTGGAAGGAGGGGTTTGGGATATTGGCAGTTTGGAGGGATATGTTGTGTATCTTTATACGTATATGCTTCTAAGCTGTTGTGTTTCTGAGCACCTCTGCAAAAACAGTGATTATGTGTGAGTGAGGCGAAAGTGTTGAATGATGATGAAAGCATTTTCTTTTTGGGGATTTTCTTTCTTTTTGGGCCACCCTGCCTCGGTGGGAGACGGCCGACTTGTTGAAAATATATATATATATATATATATATATATATATTATATATATATATATATATATATATATATATATATATATATATATATATATATATAATATAATATTATATAAACGGGCTACATGCAGATTATAATAATTATTGTAATATTTCAGTGTTATGCTATGATTTAAATATATATGAAAAGACGCATTAAATTTGGGAATCAGGTGACTTTATTTCCTACTTTATTATTATTATTATTATTTTTCTAAGTGAAAGCAGTTAAGATAGTCTCATATGTACATCCATCACAGTGCAGACACGTATGATATATTGGATATAGCGGATAGAAGCTGTTATGGTGCGTTTTTCATCGGTTAGTTTTATTTTCAGAACAACAATGATCTTGGGTGAACACTTGTTTAGCATCTCTGTTCTCCGTTTGGGGGATCTTGTTGCCTGGTACCTCTCATAGCTGTTTATTAATCCTTCTTTGGATAAAATCTAATTATATCCCATTCCCTAGGCTCTGTATTATCCATAACAGATTTATCTCTTTTACATAAATATAATACATGTATGTTACGAAGAATTCTCTCTTGTGCAGCCCCGCCGCATATCAAGCTGCCGGCACAGTACGAACAGGGACTGATTTTCGACACTGACGAACTTATCCGACTTCGAGTACCCTACACGGGTCGACCTCAGCCGCACGCCTCTTGGACACACAACGGCAAGCAGGTGAGATCTTCGCTCACATTTGCCACACCCATCACCATCTGGTGCTGTGTTTCACATGTCACTTTTATCTCGTGTTCTGTTACACTTGTCACCTTCATCTCATGTTAAGTGTTCCATCTCTCAGCGGCTACACTCTGTATGTTTCAGTATACAACTGTTTTGCTCTAGTAAATAATCGTCAGTGAATTAACAATGATTACAATTTCCATATACTTTACCTTCCATCCGGGAGCTAAATAAGCCCTTAGGTTATTTATTAATATTTTGAAGCATTCGTCATCTAAAATGGTTTTGCTGCTGATTAAACGTGTAAATAAGATGGATTGTGTGTATTACCGGCTCAGTCTTCATTCTCTCTAGATAATTAGCACATATATTTTAATGCATGACAGTGATGACTGTTATATATACTCATAGATCTAATACATTCATACTAAGTTTGACTTTATAATAAGCAGTCAGCAGATTAGCTTGAAGCCACTACTCAATAAAAAAGTCACCACATATCTATTTTTCTCATCCCATGGTTTCAACTGAAAATATTTCACTGTAAGCCTTCTAACAACTATAATGTAAATTTTTGTTAAAATAAATTTAACAATACATTATATTTCAGATGAATCTCCACAGTAAGACAGCTAACATATAATTTCCAGTTCTATCCATATACAAAAAGTGAGAATTATCTTCTCTTTGCTCCTAAGGAGATGGTAGTTATCATTCTTCCACGTCTGCCATTATGAGGACTAAAATAGTTTTTCTTGCATCAGGTCGAGGGTGACGAAAGGCACGCTGTGGACGTGTCCGAGAAGTACGCTACCCTAAAGATCGCCGGCGCCTATAGGATGGACAAGGGCATGTACACCATTAAGTTGTCCAACCCACAAGGCGAGGACACCGCCTCCTTCTTCGTTACCGTCACAGGTCTCTGCGCTGGATTTTAATTTGACCCTCTAGGTTTTCCCTCCCTTTCTCCACTTTTTGACTTTATTGGCTTGTAGAAATAGATTTCTTTCTTTCCGCTTATATGATCTCAGTTTCACGAGTAGTAATGAAACTTACAGGTGTTTACATCCCCTTCAGCTTCTCGATTTCTGATAGGACCTGTCCATCATTCGTGTCACATTCCGGTTAATATTATGTGATAACGTTTTCTTCTATTCCCATCATTATATCCTATCTGGTAACAGTGCTTTTGCTTTTCTATAATAGAATCCCAGTTCATGACTAGTATTATCCCCTTCGAAAAACTACATGATGAGTTATTGCATTCGTTGTGGTAATTCATGATTCGTTAACTAGTGCCACGTAAGAGTGACAGCTAGCTTACTGGTTGGACTCTGTAGTCACAACTTATGCGATTTTTATACAAATTTATTCTTCCTCAGATCGTCCTGGCCCGCCCAGCGTGCCCACCATCACAGACCTGTCAGGCACTTCAGTGACGCTACGCTGGGACTCGCCACAAGACGACGGTGGCTGCAGGATCTCTAACTACCTCGTCGAATACTTTAGGGTGAGTCTGTAACCAGTCACTGGGTGGTCCTCTTTCGTATTTTAAACAGGTAGATCATCTTTCCATGTGTATTATTGCTTGTATATTACAGTATATACTCTCGATTATTAGCTGTAGATAGCCCCTGTTCTGGTGTTAAAACTTTGTAGATACTTCTTCATAAGTCAGAACTCTGTAATCATTCTGCTGTTAGCATTTAAAAGGCATGATGCATTTTGTTAAACTTAAAATTGTATATCGTTAGACCATCAAAATGTGACTTGTAACATAGTCACAGAATAAGGGAAAACTTAATGTTTAATGTAGATTGAAGAATTTTGGCTCCTAAAATGAATACCTCGAAATTATATGACTTGCATTCTTCACCCTGTGACAAGGAAATTCCTTCTATGCATGTTCCCTAAGAAACTGCGTACGGTATCTTTTTTCTGGTATTCATAGTATATAGGGTATTTTATCTAGACTTTAAAGAGCTTATCTAGCGAAACATATATCATTTACATCTATGTTCACACATACTGCTGTTGAGGAGATATGCAGATGTTTCATAACGTAACGTAAACTTAAGTTTTCCTTGTCTTATTATTGTTTTGAGTGTCGCCTTGTCCTGCAGGTGGGTTGGGATGTGTGGCTGAAAGCGGCATCATCCCGAATCACATGGACACAACTCTCTGATCTCATTGTTGGCTCAGAGTATCGTTTCCGCATCAAGGCTGAGAACGCCTACGGAGTCTCCGAGCCTGGAGAAGAGTCCGACCAGATTCTCATCGAAGACGCCAAGAGTCCTACAGGGTACGAGAACATTGATACTAGCGGGGATAGGTCATTACAAAACTGTAATCAGGAGATTGCTTCTGAAGGTTCATTTAGTGAACGTACATTTACTAGCCAGATGTCTGATCACTCTGGAATGGTCATTGAAACCGTGAGTTTGAAGAGATCACAAGCTCTTTATGAGGAGGAACTAATGAAACGTAATAGACTGCTTTGTTTTCCTTCCATGGGTAGTTATAACAGTGATTCTGATAGTGATGTTACGTTAATGCAGCAGCAAAAGATATTTAATAAAGAGGTAGATTTAAGTAATTCGGACACAGATATATCTAATACAGATACGTCTGAACTTAGTGATGAATCTTGGGTTTCTTCAGGGACTCTCTCCTTAGATCAGTCTACGACTAGTTTATTAGGTCCGATTGTTTCTGAGTCCTTATGTCGACTAAAATCACTTGAGAAATTTGTCGTAGGGACCCAGTTTGACATTGTAAGTGGTGGGTTAACTCCAACACATCATTTAGGAACACTTAAAAGTACCATTACAGAGAATATTCAGGAAGAGACGATAAACTTTATTGCAACAGTACAAGTTTATCAGCCATGGGCGACGCCAGGTAACTCGCCATTCACATACAACTACCGCACAACTGATGAAATAGTCACTGATCGTGGTTTAGATCTTCATAATAAATCAGATGCAACTCCCACAGCAAGTGATGTAAGGACAAATGATAATGATTATTGTTGTTTTAATGAGTTACATATTGGCGTTTCCGAAAATTTATCTTCAGACAGACTTGAAACGAACCCTAGTGACAAATTCATTGCTAATCAGAAAGTAAGAAACACATGCGATGACAGTGTGAGAGGCAATCGGATAATGACTAACACGTTACACGACAGAGTAATAACCCGTCAGGCATTGTGGGACCCATCTAAGGGAGCTGCAGAAAACCAAACTGCGAAGAATGATAATGTAGGTTATTTGACCAATCAGATCAAGAGCGCCGTCTGTAAAGAAGTCAAAACAAACCAGACTGTAAAGGATATCCACGAGAAAGGATCTATGGAGACTCAATTGATTAAGAGCGTCGGTGGTGAGGATGCTCCAGTGCATCAGGTCGTCAAGGACGGTTATTGTGTAGCTATAGCAGACCATGTGGCGAGTGGCTTGTATGGTGCAAGAGCTACAAAAAACCAGGTAATGAGAGTGACTAATATAGAGGGTGTCGCAGGTAGCCACCTAAAAAGGGACATCTCTAACGTGGAGACTACAACGATCCAGGAAATTAAAGATGTCCATAGCAGTGGAGTAAATGTAAATAATGCAGAAGGGGATACTGATAACGAAGGAACTGCAACGAATAAAATAAAGAGGGAACTCCATAACTACACAGCTGTAAATAATAGGGTAATGAATAGTCTTAGCTACAAAGAACTTGCAGTTAATGAATCAAATAATTCAAGTAGTGAGGAACCCTCAGTGAACCGGGCATCAAGGAAGATTGCTAATAGCTCAGAAGCAACTGATCGAGGAAGAAGCTTCCTTAGCGAGGAAGCCACAGTTAACCAAGTTTTCAGGAACTTAAGAAGAGAAGCAGCCTTAGCTCAAGAGGTTGGAAGAACCGTTGACCAGGGAGCCAGAAACAAACAGTTTAGTAGCGTGGAGAGCGAGGTCTCTGCTGCAGGCGGTCAGTGGACCATGCAAGGGAGGGTTGCTATTGCTAACCAATTCAGAATTATTTGCGGCGGCCTGGCGAGCATGACCCATCTGGGAAACATCAATACAAGAGGTATAACTGGTCAGGATAATAGCATTTATGATGAAGTCGACACTGATTATTCGGAAATATCTGAAGATGAATCAACATACAACGGGAGCACTTGGAGAGGCGAGAAAGGTTCAAACTCTTCACTCGACACTGAGCATTATGAGCAAGACTTAAGAAATGGATTTGAACCATTGGTGCTTGATGCAGCTGCAGTTAACCAAAAAGATTTCCTTTCTCCAGAAGGACCTGCAGTCAATATCTTGAGAGGTATGACGATAAGAAAAATGGTAGCTAGTCACCAAAGTTTATTGGAACATCCAGGAACTTCTGGATATCAAGAAACGCCTAGAAAAGACAATAATGAGGCGAGTCGTCAAGAAAGCAAGAACTCGCTAAGAAGTACAAGCACCGTGTTTAGAACAGCACAAGACACCGACGTTAGTAATTGTCATTTTACGAATCCTAATCATGAAGGTATGATTTCAGGCTCTACTGATGATTTGGGGCAGATCCAAGGTGTAGATAATCCATTTTATATGACTGAAGATAAAAGTTCAGTAAACTATCAGTACAGCATCACTAACAAAACAGTAATAGCACCTAAGGACAAAATTTCTAGTTTACCCGGTGACATTGCAATTCACTTAGATGGAAATGAAGCCATTCGTTCTGTAAGAAGTAAGAAAATATCACAGGGTCTAAACTGTGTGTATCCAAGAGAGCCAGTGTCTCATTTGACTTTTACTTCTAACACAGTCAAGGACAAATCTGTAAATCAAGGTTTAAATCCATTGACCGAGGATTCTCCTTATACAGTGTATCAGAATGTTGATGAATTTTCCTCGTGGGAACCAAAAATCAAAGAGGAGATCACGTCCAGGATTGACCTCTTGGAGGAGCTCGCATATAGGTGCTTGGAGAACGAGGACATAACGATGAATACCTTAGGTGTGACAGACAAGGAGGGGCTCGTAGCCCCATCGCCTCTAGCACCTCTGTCTCGCGTGAGCTCCAGTGGACGCTTAGACGTAAGTCGAGGAGAACTCCAGCATCTCATCAACGATCTTGGAGAATTGGTTAACAGCATGAATGAGAAGAGTAGAATACTCAGCGCAGATAACGTATCTAAGTTTTTTAAAAAGACAAGCAGTGTTGTGAGAGACCATTCATTATCGCCCGTCGGACATCAGAGTACTGGTTATGCTGTCGACAGTGGATCATATCATTCTGTGATTGACGATGGATCAAATCAGTCTGTGGTCGACGATGAATCAAATCAGTCTGTAGTCGACGATGGCTCATGTCACTCGGCTGTCGACAATAAATCAGATCGATCTGTTGTCGACGTTGGATCAAATCGAAGCTCGCGCCCTCAGTCTCTGAGCGAGGTTGATTGGATATTGGAAGATTTACCTTACAACAGCCACCCGGAAAACTTAGCAGATATTTTCCTACCATACGGTCAAGTTAATATTCAGTCATACATCTTAGACCGCATCACATACCTGGATGAGGTTATGAATCGGTGTCTAGAGCACGAGGACGTCACTCTCAACACGCTGGGATCTCCTCCTGCGACCCCATATCTTCAGCCATCGGCAGAAGTTCAAGAGGAGAGTATTGACTCTAGTAAGCTCGAATTAAAACATTTAATAGAGAATTTAGGATCAATGATTAATGGGCTTAGTCAAAAGTTCAATGCACATTCGCCATAGTTTGATTCTTCAGAATGTGTATGGATATATTTGAAAATTAGTTAATATTTTCGTGTGAAAGTATGACTATGGTCAAAAGTATAAAATAAAAGACTCGGCGCTGTCTTTCATTGCTGCTGAGCTTCCAAGTGTCACTCAATTGTTGTACACAACTTGTCGTACAGGACATAATTGGATTAGTACCTCGACGGGTGAATAATCCAGTATAACCCAAGAAAGGGGAGCAGTGTGGCTTTCTTCCATTTGGAGTCCTTTTAGGTCTTCTCCCATGATTTAACTCAATGCAGTTGACGTGCTAGGTGTTAGACTAGCTCATATGTCTCGTCCCACCCAGGATCCACCCGGATACTTTCGTTTGTGAGGCAAATGCTCCAGTCTCTTGTCACTTTCTTGTTATTGACTATCCTTGTTATTTATTCTTTTACGTTCTCGTATTAGGAGTCTCTTTCATTTTCTGTGACAATTTCTTATACTGTAATTTTTTATTTGTTCTTATTCTCTTTACTTTTCTTCATAGCCTTTCATTAGGGCCTCGTATGAGAAAGACATATTGCAGAACAAGTTTTTATTTGCACAACGTTTCGCTGTGTCTACCTCAGAACGAACCGTAGCTCGGTTCTGCAACGTGTCATTTCTTAACTTGTCAACACGCCAGCTTTTGACTCCAGAGCTTCTAGTAATTACTTCATTATTTACCTCTCAAACTTGACTTGCTGCTCCATTGATCTTGATGACCATTCCATGTTACCTGGCATGGAATATTTTGAGATGTGATTTGTGAATCTTGCTGACACAACACTCATTTTGTACTTAGTTATTCGACCGATAATAATTTTACAGACTTGTTAAATTACTCTGAATATCTTAGTGTATACAAGAGTTTACTTGGATGAGAAATGTATTTTTGTACTTTAGCCGTGTTTTCAATTGCATATTATACTCGGAAAATATCGCTGATATATTCTCGTTGACTAATGATTGTAAAACTTAGTTGTCAACTCGAATCTTTATGCCTCGTTGACTCGTTTGATAAAATGACACTTGCCGAATAAGCCAAGTCAGCAATTTCGGTTTATAAAGCATTATATATCTTCTAAAAAGCTGTCATTTTCCCTTAAAGATGTTTGTAAACACAGGAAATATTTTAAGGTCGTATTTCTCCTCTGTAACCACCACAAGCAAATACGTACCTTGAATTTTTATCAGTACAAAAACTACAAATCTCTCTTGGCCACTCCTTCATACCAGATATTTCTCACCATTCTGAATTACCTACATTTTCTAGCAAATATCAAACTCCGGCACCGAGAAACAAATACCCACGTACATACGTAAGTTTGTGTACGTAAGTTGCCAAAGCATGGTGGTTCTAAGCTGACTACATAAGGCAACACTCGGCGGATGAGACGTACATATTATATTTCTTTAGTTTATGCAGTTTCTTCTAATTTTATTATTGTTTACTTTAGTTTATTACACTAAGAACATGTAGAAGACGTTAATAAATAAGGTAGACGTTCATAGTTTTTTATTTGACTAATCCGTAGTACCTTAATTTGTACTCAGAAAGCCTACATTAACACTCATTACTACATTCTCTCATCCGCCTCCAAACGAAGTGATCACAAAGAGTTATGTTTATAGCACAATTTTATTATTTCGAGTGCTACGTTAACTATGCTTTCTGAGTATATTAAACGTAAATAGGAGGGAAGGGGATGATGGAGTAAGAAACATTAGTTTCAAACAGTGAAGTGCAGTGTACATACAGTTTCAGTCGTACATTTTTGGAGAGACGAGACACGATTTTTTTTATAGGCAAGAGGATTGAGTATTTAGATAATTATAATACTGACATATTTTTAGTATATTTAAATCCTTAAAGATAAATAACTCACTTTTTGTGGCTTTAACAGACAAGCACACAAGGTAACAATGAAAATCTGACGACGTTTGAATCCGTAATGGTCCAAGACAGACCCGTAACGTCGTCCAATAATATTCCTGATTTGTGGACTTGTGGTTTGTTTAAGAATAGTGATAATTTTGATAAGACATACTTCTGTAATTTAATTAAAATTAATGACGAATGTAAAATCAAGGCTGTTAACCGTAAGTAAAATACATGAATGTGATGGAATAAGAAGGGCGTGTTCAGGCACTATGACCTTTACGTGTATAGAACTTTCTCATGAATACAGCAGTAAGGAAGGCCATGTTAGCGAGTGATTGTATGGGGCATATGTGTTCCCTTTAATTTAAGCTAGAGAGTCCAGCACGAGCATGCTAGCGGTCGATATTACCCAGGCCTGTAGTTAAGGCTGCTTCACATGAGAAACCTCGTCCATTAATGACGCGTCGGGTAATTTTCCTTGACGAATGCATCAACAGAAATGATTAAGTATTACGATTATATGCTTCTTAACACGTGGCTGCAATATTTTATTTTTTTTTTTTTTCAACAAGTCGGCCGTCTCCCACCGAGGCAGGGTGACTCAAAAAAGAAAGAAAATCCCCAAAAAGAAAATACTTTCATCATCATTCAACACTTTCACCACACTCACACATTATCACTGTTTTTGCAGAGGTGCTCAAAATACAACAGTTTAGAAGCATATACGTATAAAGATACACAACATATCCCTCCAAACTGCCAATATCCCAAACCCCTCCTTTAAAGTGCAGGCATTGTACTTCCCATTTCCAGGACTCAAGTCCGACTATATGAAAATAACCGGTTTCCCTGAATCCCTTCACTAATTATTACCCTGCTCACACTCCAACAGATCTCAGGTCCAAGTATCATTCGTCTCCATTCACTCCTAACACGCTCATGCACACTTGCTGGAAGTCCAAGCCCCTCGCCCACAAAACCTCCTTTACCCCCTCTTTCCAACCCTTTCGAGGACGACCCCCTACCCCTCCTTCCTTCCCCTATAGATTTATATGCTTTCCATGTCATTCTACTTTGATCCATTCTCTCTAAATGACCAAACCACCTCAACAACCCCTCTTCTGCCCTCTGACTAATGCTTTTATTAACTCCACACCTTCTCCTAATTTCCACACTCCGAATTTTCTGCATAATATTTACACCACACATTGCCCTTAGACAGGACATCTCCACTGCCTCCAACCCTCTCCTCGCTGCTGCATTTACCACCCAAGCTTCACATCCATATAAGAGTGTTGGTACGGTACTACTATACTTTCATACATTCCCTTCTTTGCCTCCATAGATAACGTTTTTTGACTCCACATATACCTCAACGCACCACTCACCTTTTTTCCCTCATCAATTCTATGATTAACCTCATCCTTCATAAATCCATCCGCCGACACGTCAACTCCCAAGTATCTGAAAACATTCACTTTTTCATACTCCTTCCCCCCCCAATTTGATATTCAATTTTTCTTTTTCTAAATCATTTGATACCCTCATCACCTTACTCTTTTCTATGTTCACTTTCAACTTTCTACCTTTACACACATTCTCAAACTATCCACTACCTTTGCAATTTTTCTTTAGAATCTCCCATAAGCACAGTATCATCAGCAAAAAGTAACTGTGTCAATTCCCATTTTGAATTTGATTCTCCATAATTTAACCCCACCCCTCTCCCGAACACCCTAGCATTTACTTCTTTTACAACCCCATCTATATATATATTAAACAACCATGGTGACATTGCACATCCCTGTCTAAGACCTACTTTTACCGGGAAGTATTCTCCCTCTCTTCTACACACCCTAACCTGAGCCTCACTATCCTCATAAAAACTCTTAACAGCATTTAGTAACTTACACCTATTCCATATACTTGCAAACATCTGCCACATTGCTCCTCTATCCACTCTATCATATGCCTTTTCTAAATCCATAAATGCAATAAAAACTTCCCTACCTTTATCTAAATACTGTTCACATATATGCTTCAATGTAAACACTTGATCTACACATCCCTACCCACTCTGAAGCCTCCCTGCTCATCCGCAATCCTACATTCTGTCTTACCTCTAATTCTTTCAATTATAACCTTTCCGTATACTTTTCCTGGTATACTCAGTAAACTTATTCCTCTATAATTTTTACAATCTCTTTTGTCCCCTTTCCTTTATATAAAGGGACTTATACATGCTCCCGCCAATCCATAGGTACCTTCCCCTCTTTCATACATTTATTAAACAAAAGTACCAACCACTCCAACACTATATCCCCCCCTGCTTTTAACATTTCTGTCATGATCCCATCAGTTCCAGCTGCTTTACCCCCTTTCATTCTACGTAATGCCTCACGTACCTCCACCACACTTACATTCTGCTCTTCTTCACTCCTAAAAGATGGTATACCTCCCTGGCCAGTGCATGAAATTACCGCCTCCCTTTCTTCCTCAACATTTAAAAGTTCCTCAAAATATTCTCGCCATCTACCTAATACCTCCCTTTCCCCATCTACTAATTCCCCTACTCGTTTTTAACTGACAAATCCATACTTTCCCTAGGCTTTCTTAACTTGTTTAACTTACTCCAAAATTTTTTCTTATTTTCATTAAAATTTCTTGACAGTGCCTCTCCCACTCTATCATCTGCTCTCCTTTTGCACTCTCTCACCACTCTCTTCACCTTTCTTTTACTCTCCATATACTCTGCTCTTCTTATAACACTTCTGCTTTGTAAAAACCTCTCATAAGCTACCTTTTTCTCTTTTATCACACCCTTTACTTCATCATTCTACCAGTCACTCCTCTTTCCTCCTGCCCCCACCCTCCTATAACCACAAACTTCTGCCCCACATATGCAATATATGGTAATTAATACTACTGTGGGAATTTTGTTTGAATAATAATATAAAATATGAACTACATTTGAATAGCATTAGCTCAGTATCTATGTCAGAACCACCCCGTCTGTGATATACAGTGTATCTAATGAAGCAAATGCTGAAAATGAACTGTTCATTGCTGATGGTAGTGTGAAATATGGGAAGATTAACATTTCACTAAATGTTAAAAGAAAGCTTGAAGCAAAATTTTAGGTTATGGATGTAGTGTCATACGGTGCTGGAAGGTTACGAATGATAAGTTAAAACAAGTCGGTTTTTATGTAGTATGAGAGGAAATACTAGATCAAGGCCGAGGCTGCAAATCATTGCATGTCTGGAGTAATAGGAATGTTATACAAAAGCAGGAAGGAATTCAAGCTTCTCAAAGTGAGTTTTGTGCCTTTGCTTCTATGAATGATTGTTCCAGCCTCCCTTAGTGCCTGTTTGAGTTTCTTTGAATGTTGATGTTAACTTTGATGATGAGTCCTACACTTTGACTACCTACCATAGCTCTTCTGAATGACAATATATTAGGTTTCCTGAATGATGATTCCTCAGGCTTCCTAAGTAGCAATATCTTAGCCTCCCTGAGTGACTGTATCTTAGCTTACTTGAGTGACTATATTTTAGCCTTTCTTGGAGTTACGGTATTCAAAGTTTCATGAATAACCGACTTCCTAGTGATGAGGTCTGGGCCTCAGGGGCGTTGACCCACGGAACACTCTCCAGTTAAACATCTATCCTTGTGGAGAGTATCTTCGCCTCTATGAATGGATGAGTTCTACACATCTTGAGTGACAGTATTTTAACTTGCCTGAGTGATAATCTTCTCCCCTAAGGTCCTTCGAGTACGAGACCTACAAGTCCACTACCAGTGTTGGCTCCTCGCTGCCCAAGGACTCTACTACCTTGGTCAAAGGTCGGTTTTGTGTACTCTTTTAGTTTATATGTAGTGGCTCTATTGCTATATTCAAATTGTATTAGACGATTATTCAAGCAACAGGCCAAAGTTGCTGGATTTCGCTGAGTGAAAGTTTTTCATACAGGGGATAGCTCGTCCTTCGAGTATGGTGACTCTGGAGAGAGCTCAACCGTTGCTTCCTTCGATGGAGGCGAACTGTCAGTGAATAAGTTACGACGAATAGGCCAAGTATCCTCTGAGGAGGTAGATTCCTCTTTAACAAGCTCTAGCGGCGCTCAGGAACCTTCCCTGGACCTTGGAAGCTCAAGCGAAAAGCCACCTTCTTTCGATTATGAGAGTTCTAGGGGGCCATCCTTTGACGTAGTTTCTTCAGTGGAGAGGGGGCCGTCCTTCGAAGTTGGATCTTCTGTAGACAGAGGACCATCCTTCGAGGTTGGATCTTCGGTAGAAAGAGGCTCATCGTATGAAGTTCGGTCATCCATGGAACGCGGTCCTTCTTACGATGTAGAATACTCGAGATCAAAATATGGTTCTCTCCAAACGAGCAGCTCGGCAGAGCATGAAAGTGAGCCATTAGATAAGGAAATATCTGTTGAAATAACTGGCTCCGATGGACGACCCATGAGCTACCTGCCCGTCGGAGGCTCCTATGAGTTGGCTTCGTCAATGGACCGTGGCGACTCCTATGAAGAACGGAACTTGGCTGTCAGCGACTACATTCGGTCTGGAGGGTCAGCTGGTGAGTCGATGGACCTTGGAGGTTCTTTGGATGGCGAGGAACCTCCGATGCCGCCACCTCGCATACCCAGGAGGGAAGGACGCTCTCCTGCAATTCCATCTCCTGCATCACCAGGTATGATACCCGCCAGCCCCTTTTGCATGATGTTGCGCACCTGCATGATAATCCTAAGATTATTCTTACAGTAGCGAGGACTTGTTTTCAAACAGACATAAGAAGATCTCTGCTTATAAACTTACTAAACAATCTAATCCTATTTTAATTATGATTTTGAATTTGATTAATTAGATTTTGGAAACAATTTAGTTATGTTTCTGTGTTCGCAAATAGATGGAAAAACCTTAACACTTATCATTAGTAGTTTTGTTTTTAATACACCAAGCAGTGATATTCATGGAGGATGTTGTCAATATAGAAACAACGAAGGTTATTCCTTTATAGCTTCCTTCTTAGTCTGGCTCCTGGCGTTCCTTTCGCAGGAGCTAAACCCTGGGAAGACAAACCGCCAGTACCACCACCAAGAAGGCGACGGTCCAGTTTGAACAGCCTCATCCTCCACCCTACAGCACCTCCCAACACCCAGTGCAACATCCTACGCTCCAACAATACACATAAATGTTGTTACAATGACAGCCACACCAAGAACAACACACTAAACAACAGCAACACTACCATCACATCGTTATTCAGCTTGAAGCATACAACACACAGCAGTGACACTTACACATCCTCCTATATTTCCGATACCACCACGAACAGCTCTCTCTACCGCCACAATTCTCAGGGCCTGAACAATGATCGCAGTTTTGTTTTGTATGAAAAATGGGGTATTGTGCCCATGCCAAGACCACCATCCATAATCATGACAGTAAGGCGAGCCAAACTGTAAATGAACATGCTTTGCCTTCAGGATTTTCACCTATAGTTCCCGAGCCTGTAACTTCAGATATAACCTCTGTAAACCCCAAATTAATGTTATTGTTGACTACGTTTTTGCTTAAATAAAGGAGCACGTGTATTATCTTCGTGTTGGTCAAACACACGGTATTGATTTTGGATCGTTTCTTTGAATACAGCCATTTCCATTGCTCTAAAATGAAATATTTGATTATGGCATTGTAGATGGTAGCTGGAACAAGATAGGTAGCGGTGTGTAAACACTTGTTCTCAGGTCATTCAGGAACACTTACAATTTTGTTCACTGAAGGAAGACAAACTGAGGCTTCTGTAAGCTTTTAGTATTTTATGAGTGCTTGTTGTAACTTGACAGTTTTAGTGACGGTGCGACTTGATTTTTTATTTATTTTAAATGTTCTGAGTAAAGTATTTAAATCAAAATTATTGTGACGGCCTTGCGTATACTATTTTTTTTTTACATTACACTGACACAGTATATCGTATAAGGTGTGTTTCATAGTTAAAATGTTCATCAGTGTCCATTCCTGTGACCCACAACCTCGGCATGCCTATTACGTTTTATCCTCGGGGTTGTATTTTCTTTAGAAAGCTAAACTTCAAGAGACATTCAGTATATAAAAAATACATAATGAAAAGCCTAGAAATATGATGGGTTATTAAAAATTTTTTTAATGTGATTTTTTGTAGTTACATTTCACTAAGTAAATCAGTCTGGTTGGTTAGTTTTATAGGTTTAAATCCTATCAACTCTACGAGGGTTATTACGGCTCCATATCACCTGTAAACCACCAGTTAAGAATGTAATTTAATCCCTGAAGTAGGAATTAAGGTAACTTCTCACAGTATATGTACAGTGATAATATACATCGTTACGTATATATGCTTAAATCTGCAATACTTGATCATATCTAAAGAGCTAGCGTAGCTTGGTAACACTGCTCATATAACGTGTTTATCAGTCATTACTTATGATTGAAGAATTGCATACAATTAACGTGCTCCTGTGCATGTTATTTTCTCTCAATTACGCTACTGTGATAAGTAGGCTTCTATCCAAGATGCAATTGAACTGTGAAATATTTAAAGGTTCCCCAACACAATGCTGGGATATAATCATAGACACAAGTGCGGTCCTTGCATGTGAAGGTAATGTTTGGTTGCACTCCTCCCAACACACAGCTTCAGGAAGTTCCTTAGCTTAAAAGTCCTTATACCGGAATGCGTTTTACCTGTTTAGTCACTTTCTTTGTAGTAGAATTCTTGCCGAGGTTAAAATAGTTAATGATTATAGTTTTATACAATAGTTTTACTACTAGCACATAGTATTACTCACTAGTTTTGTTGGTAAATTAACCCATGAGCAGACTCGTTAATACAGTTGGTCGATGTTTACATATTTCTTAAACTATAATTTTTTTTTCGTAGTTTATATATATTGTATGACTCACTGCTTTTCCATTAATTAATGTTTTGTAACCAAAATTTGAGCTATGAATAATTTTAACCACAGGACTCCTGCTGAATTAAACAAATAGGTAAATTATGCATGAGTTTTGCCTTTGTATGTAATGATTCATTCGTTGCATACTTAATTATAACTTTTAAATATAAAGAGTTTTAGATTCTTTAGATTCTTTGCATTACCAAACAAGAGAAAAAAATATTAGATAAATTCGAACTTCTTTATTTTTACTGTTTCCAGTAAAAATGTGTGTCCAGCAATTTGCTTTACAATTTCTTTGCCTAACTTGGACAATACGAAAGAAATACTGGAAGATCAAACTTTTCAAATTGTTTTTTTAGGTAGTCAAGGCAGGGACACGTATGCTTGTTATTATCCATGATTTATCAGCAGGTGATTCTAACGTTGGTCTCCTCTGCAGAAGGGATGGCTGAAGCTCAGGACACAGTGCCTACCCCGCCTCCTCGATCCCGTCGCCCAGGCTCGCGAACCTCCATTGGATCAGAGTCTTCCGCTCTTGGTATGTTGCCAGTTAGATTTTGCAGGCAACAGTGTAAGGTTTATCCCCGGGTTCCTTTTCCTTTGAGAGTGTCACAGCACTAAGTTTGTTTTCACGAATGGATGTTGTCAAATTTTGGAGCTGAATGCTTTACCAGATTTCAATTTTAGAGCTGAATGCTGTACCGAATATCTAGTTTTAAATATCAGTGTTATACCATCTTTACGATCATTCTCCTCTCTCTCTCCATTCTCTTTTTCCTTCTTTAGAGAAGAATACGTCCAGGGCCTCGTTTCGATTGCTGAATGTTATCTCTGGTTCTCATTTATAGTGATTAATGTTAACCCAGCAATCCATTTAAAAAAATAAATTATAGTTCGCTTTTCTGAAAAAGGAAGGGGATTTCGGGTTGTTACTTCTATAGAGGGTTATGTCTGAGCACGGTACTGCAGGTCTCCGTATGCAGACACGATTATTATCCCGTGTTCATGCCTGGTCGACGGCACAAACCCACTCGGAGACATGAATATAATTGGCAGTGTACTTAAGAAGGCTGAAACAGGCATCTATCTTGCCTTCTGTTTTATTGTATCCAGGCCATTTTGTTTGTACCATTTCCCCATGTGTCCACAAATAGATAGGAACATTGTGAGAAAAAAAAATGCGAAATATATGGTGTTTACTGAGAACACGTTTCGTTCACCAGTAACTTTGTCAGTCTATTGATTACAAAGTCCCTGGTGGACGAAACTTCTCAGTAAATGCCATAAATTTCGTATTGTTTTATTCGCATACTTGTCGGCATATTTTACCTTTGATATTCAGAATCAAGGTTACTATATGTAAATAGCAACATTATTCCAGGTCACCATTTCTAGCTAGATAGGAACATTATCCCAGGTTGCTATATCCAGATAGGAATATATAATCTTTGATTCAGTTTTGAAGTTGTCCCTCAGTCGACCATGGAAGGTTACGTGTTGCCCTTAGTCCTTCATGGAAAGTTCTCACTTGTCTTTAATCGTTCACGGAAGGTTACAGATTGCATTCAGCCGTCCATGGAAGGTTACAGGTTGCCTTCAGTCGTCCATGGAAGGTTACAGGTTATCTTCAGTCGTCCGTAGGTTACAGATTACCTTCAATCGTCCATGGAAGGTTACAGGTTGCCTTCAGTCGTCCATGGAATTTTACAGGTTACCTTCAGTCGTCCATGGAAGATTACAGGTTATCTTCAGTCGTCCATGGAAAGTTACACGTTGCCCTCAGTCGTCCATGGAGGGTTACAGGTTGCCTCAGTAGTCCGTGGAGGGTTACAGGTTGCCTCAGTTGTCCATGGACGGTTACAGGTTGCCTCAGTCGTCCATGGACGGTTACAGTTTGCTTCAGTCGTACCTGGAGGGTTACGGGTTGCTCTCATTCATCCATAAAAGCTCTGCAGTGAGATGAACATTGATAACAACCTTTCTTTCTCTGGTGGTTTATTTATGTGGTCACATACGCTGTAGTTTGACAGTGGCATTGCTCCAACACTGACATTTTACACCGCGTTAAAATCTAGCATGAAGTTTTGTGTACCACTTGTTTATTATCTTGACTGTATTCTCTCATTAACATTTATCATTTTTTTTCTCTCCTATATTTCTACAATTGCCTTTTTTTATTTCATCGGTTATAATCTACTGCTTTCTAGTTTCATAGTGCAAGTTGAACTTGTAGATTTCTTCAACATCACTTATTTAAAACTACAAAATACCGATAATGACACGGGTCCCAATTTACTCCCTCCAGACCCCCAGTTAGCATGAGGATTACTTTTGGCTTGAGTGGTCTGCTCCTGCTCTGCTTTATATGCCTTTTGTTGACAAAGATCTCTGAATTGCCTTGTTGAACCTAGCTCTGAAAATCTTTAAACTTCCTTCCACCTTAGCATGTGAGTTCACCCTCCTTCTTCCTTCAGGAGTAGATGTGTCATCCTTCTGTAGCATGGGGGCGGAGGGTGGGCACGATGTGGCGCCCACCCCGCCCCCCAGGAGCCGACGCTCTGGCTCCCGGGCCTCCACTGTAACGGAGTCGTCTGCTCAGGGTACGTCTCCAAAGCGTTCTGAGTTCACCCACGCTGCCTACCACAGGCCTCCCGTGCAAGACTTGGGAAAATAGCTTTCTAATCAAAACTGATAAGCAAACGTAGATTATATTTTCATATAGATTGTTTTAGATGCTCACTTTAGTTTCTTCAATGGCTGGTCGACGTAACTGTTTGTCGTTCAAACGACGGAGTAATTCAGATGAGGATTTTTAGTTTAATATCTGATCTCGGCTGTTGAAGAAGCTTGAAAGATTTTTTAAAGTATTTGTAGAATAACATTTACCGAGTACCACTTCGTGAGGATCTTATTTCTGTAAACATTAAGATGGAACCAAGATCTTACGGTAGACGTTATTCCAACCTGACACTAAGAGGGAAGACTAATTTTAATCACCTGTAGTAAAGAGTAATATTAGTATGAGTCATTGTGCGTATATTAGAACTAATAGTGCAGTACATAGAGAATACTTGTACTTCATGGCCTCTCATACGTATTTTTTCTTTATTTTGCCCATATTTCCTTAATTTAAATCTGCTGATTTTATATGTTTGCACTCTGAAAATTTTGCAGTTGCAGAGTTAGTGGATCCTACTTAAATATATTTTTACTTACAGAATTCTTCAACATAACATCTTTATGTAGGGCAACAACTTGCCGAAAATGACAGGGCCCAGTTTAACTCCTTCCCTCCCTCATACATATATATATATATATATATATATATATATATAATATATATATATATATATATATATATATATATATAAGCCTAGGGAAAGTATGGATTTGTCCATTAAAAACAGAGTAGGGGAGTTAGTAGATAGGGAGAGGGAGGTATTAGATAGATGGCGAGAATATTTTGAGGAACTTTTAAATGTTGAGGAAGAAAGGGAGGCGGTAATTTCATGCACTGGCCAGGGAGGTATACCATCTTTTAGGAGTGAAGAAGAGCAGAATGTAAGTGTGGTGGAAGTACGTGAGGCATTATGTAGAATGAAAGGGGGTAAAGCAGCTGGAACTGATGGGATCATGACAGAAATGTTAAAAGCAGGGGGGGATATAGTGTTGGAGTGGTTGGTACTTTTGTTTAATAAATGTATGAAAAAGGGAAGGTACCTAGGGATTGCGGAGAGTATGTATAGTCCCTTTATATAAAGGGAAAGGGGACAAAAGAGATTGTAAAAATTATAGAGGAATAAGTTTACTGAGTTTACCAGGAAAAGTATACGGTAGAGTTATAATTGAAAGAATTAGAGGTAAGACAGAATGTAGAATTGCGGATGAGCAAGGAGGCTTCAGAGTGGATAGGGATGTGTAGATCAAGTGTTTACATTGAAGCATATATGTGAACAGTATTTAGATAAAGGTAGGGAAGTTTTTATTGCATTTATGGATTTAGAAAAGGCATATGATAGAGTGGATAGAGGAGCAATGTGGCAGATGTTGCAAGTTTATGGAATAGGTGGTAAGTTACTAAATGCTGTAAAGAGCTTTTATGAGGATAGTGAGGCTCAGGTTAGGGTGTGTAGAAGAGAGGAGAATACTTCCCGGTAAAAGTAGGTCTTAGACAGGGATGTGTAATGTCACCATGGTTGTTTAATATATTTATAGATGGGGTTGTAAAAGAAGTAAATGCTAGGGTGTTCGGGAGAGGGTGGGATTAAATTATGGGGAATCAAATTCAAAATGGGAATTGACACAGTTACTTTTTGCTGATGATACTGTGCTTATGGGAGATTCTAAAGAAAAATTGCAAAGGTTAGTGGATGAGTTTGAGAATGTGTGTAAAGGTAGAAAGTTGAAAGTGAACATAGAAAAGAGTAAGGTGATGAGGGTATCAAATGATTTAGATAAAGAAAAATTGGATATCAAATTGGGGAGGAGGAGTATGGAAGAAGTGAATGTTTTCAGATACTTGGGAGTTGACGTGTCGGTGGATGGATTTATGAAGGATGAGGTTAATCATAGAATTGATGAGGGAAAAAAGGTGAGTGGTGCGTTGAGGTATATGTGGAGTCAAAAAACGTTATCTATGGAGGCAAAGAAGGGAATGTATGAAAGTATAGTAGTACCAACACTCTTATATGGATGTGAAGCTTGAGTGGTAAATGCAGCAGCGAGGAGACGGTTGAGGCAGTGGAGATGTCCTGTCTAAGGGCAATGTGTGGTGTAAATATTATGCAGAAAATTCGGAGTGTGGAAATTAGGAGAAGGTGTGGAGTTAATAAAAGCATTAGTCAGAGGGCAGAAGAGGGGTTGTTGAGGTGGTTTGGTCATTTAGAGAGAATGGATCAAAGTAGAATGACATGGAAAGCATATAAATCTATAGGGGAAGGAAAGAGGGGTAGGGGTCGTCCTCGAAAGGGTTGGAAAGAGGGGGTAAAGGAGGTTTTGTGGACGAGGGGCTTGGACTTCCAGCAAGCGTGCATGAGCGTATTAGGAGTGAATGGAGACGAATGATACTTGGGACCTGACGATCTGTTGGAGTGTGAGCAGGGTAATATTTAGTGAAGGGATTCAGGAAACCAGTTATTTTCATATAGTCGGACTTGAGTCCTGGAAATGGGAAGTACAATGCCTGCACTTTAAAGGAGGGGTTTGGGATATTGGCAGTTTGGAGGGATATGTTGTGTATCTTTATACGTATATGCTTCTAAACTGTTGTATTCTGAGCACCTCTGCAAAAGCAGTGATAATGTGTGAGTGTGGTGAAAGTGTTGAATGATGATGAAAGTATTTCTTTTTTGGGGATTTTCTTTCTTTTTTGTGTCACCCTGCCTCGGTGGGAGACGACCGACTTGTTGAGAAAAACAAATATATATATATTAATATAATATATATAATATATATATATATATATATATATATATATATATATATATATATATTATATATATATTGCAATAAGATCACAGTAAACAGGTGATTTCAGAATATGCAAAACAACCACTCTGAAAGAATAGAAATTCCAAGCGCTTTCGTGACTACTCACATTATCAAGGAACTATAAAAGTAAAGCATCCAAGGAAGCTATATAAGGGTCTGGCCAGCACCTCACTATCAGATCCCACAACGGTTAAACACCTGACGCGCGCCGACCCAACTTGGATAGGTCCTTTGCACAACTCACCCACAAACTATTCTACCCAAGAAAATTTAAAAATTATTATTTGTCCAGTGTATTATTAAATTCTTCCCAAATTCTATCAATTATAAATGGATCTAATTTATATAAACCAAAGGAAATATTCATATTATTGTCAAAACTGCTTTTTATGAAACAAGATTCAATTATATTCCTGTCGACCATGGACTTGATACTACTTTCTCAACTTTTTGAAAATCAATTGGATGGTTAAAATCTCTTTCATGAATAAATAGAGCATTGGAATCTTGTCCAGTTCTAATGCTATATTTATGTTGTTTTAATCTTAGTTCGAGATTTTTACCAGTTTGACCGTAATAAACTTTATCGCAAATTTTACAAGGAATCTTATGGTTTAGAAAGACATGTAAGCAAACACTATAACATCAAGTGCTCAAGGTCCCAGGACCGAAACGTTTTCTAATAAATATGTTATAGTGTTTGCTTACGTGTCTTTCTAAACCAACTTGTCGGTATTTATTACCAAGGTTTATACCAAGGAATCTTATAGACACATCCATCAGCATTTTGGGGGGAATTCTTTATCAAAAGTTTTTTTACTGTATCAAGATTTTTGAATACAACTTTAATATTAAAAGTCTTAAGAAGAGAAGGCATATCAACCAAGTTTTCATGCCTTCTCTTCTTAAGACTTTTAATATTAAAGTTGTATTCAAAAATCTTGATACAGTAAAAAAACTTTTGATAAAGAATTCCCCCCAAAATGCTGATGGATGTGTCTATAAGATTCCTTGGTATAAACCTTGGTAATAAATACCGACAAGTTGGTTTAGAAAGACACGTAAGCAAACACTATAACATATTTATTAGAAAACGTTTCGGTCCTGGGACCTTGATCACTTGATGTTATAGTGTTTGCTTACATGTCTTTCTAAACCATAAGATTCCTTGTAAAATTTGCGATAAAGTTTATTACGGTCAAACTGGTAAAAATCTCGAACTAAGATTAAAACAACATAAATATAGCATTAGAACTGGACAAGATTCCAATGCTCTATTTATTCATGAAAGAGATTTTAACCATCCAATTGATTTTCAAAAAGTTGAGAAAGTAGTATCAAGTCCATGGTCGACAGGAATATAATTGAATCTTGTTTCATAAAAAGCAGTTTTGACAATAATATGAATATTTCCTTTGGTTTATATAAATTAGATCCATTTATAATTAATAGAATTTGGGAAGAATTTAATAATACACTGGACAAATAATAATTTTTAAATTTTCTTGGGTAGAATAGTTTGTGGGTGAGTTGTGCAAAGGACCTATCCAAGTTGGGTCGGCGCGCGTCAGGTGTTTAACCGTTGTGGGATCTGATAGTGAGGTGCTGGCCAGACCCCTTATATAGCTTCCTTGGATGCTTTACTTTCATAGTTCCTTGATAATGTGAGTAGTCACGAAAGCGCTTGGAATTTCTCTATTCTTTCAGAGTGGTTGTTTTGCATATTCTGAAATCACATGTTTACTGTGATCTTATTTATATATGCAAAACAACCACTCTGAAAGAGTGGTTGTTTTGCATATATAAATATATATATATATATATATATATATATATATATAAAATATATATATATATATATATATATATATATATATATTTATATATATATATATTAATATATATATATATATATATATATATATATAATATATATAATATAAACACGTCGGGCGTTTCCCACCGAGGCAGGGTTACCCAAAAAGAAAGAAAAACCTTTGATCATCATTCAACACTTTCACCATCATTCATACATAATCAAAATAGAAAGAAATCAGAAAGATCTGTTTTAAGATAGTTCGGCTAGTTGAACCTCTCTGGCTGTAAAGCACGGCATATACATATATTTTTTCTATAACATATATCGCTGAATGACCTTATCGGCCCTGGCACTATGTAAATTTCAAATCTGTCTTCCCACTTAGCATGTGTTTACCCTTCTTCCTCCTCCTTCAGGAGTAGATGATGTATCGTCCTTCTGTAGCATGGGGGCAGAGGGTGGGCGTGATGTTGTGCCCACCCCGCCCGTCAGAAGTCGACGCTCTAGCTCCCGTGCCTCCATTGTGACAGAGTCTTCTGCCCTTGGTACGTCTCCAACGCCATCGACACCTGTCACTGGGTTTACTTAGGCTCTAACCCATGGCTGTAACCGGTTTCACCGATGTCTTCCATCCACACACCTCTGAGTTCAACTAGACGACTCGCCCACACACTTTTCACTTCACCTAAGCCATACGCCTGTAGCTATTTACTTATTCTACATTCCATAGGCCACCCACGCATAATTAGAGATAAACATTAACATTGTTGAAGGTCATCTCACTTACGTTGTTCACATCAGGCCATACGTTAACGACTGTTCTTTCTGTTACCATATACAGAAAACACGTGCATAGCTGAGAGCGTTAGTTCTTGACATCTCGAATTATATATTAGTAGTATAGCAGGGATGTACATACTCTAGCAGTGGAATGAAGAAAGAGAGCTTCTCTCATTAAAAATTTTTAGAGATGATCTCATTATATTTGATAAAACTATTTAGCTGATAAAAATATTTTGCAAGGGCTCTTTTATTTTAGCATCCCAGATGTCCTCGTGCTTCTAAAATAATTTGTTTAATTGCATTATTCTTGTTGATAGTATATTGCCTCGGCCATCAGTAGTTTTACTTTACAATGTATATACTTACCAGGTTCAAAGCTATCAGTTCTTTTCTTTACGCCGAGATACTTGACAGTTTTGCTTATTCCACATTTCTCTCTTCATTCAGCCCCTGATACTTCTTGTTATCCTCTTCTGTTTTGTTATGTTATGCCTTGTCAGATCTCATAAACGACTTTTAACTTTAGCATGAACCCTCCCTTCTCCATCCTCCAGGGGCAGATATGGTGCCACCCTCTTATATCCTGGCACCAGAGGGTGAGTGTGTATCTGTGCCTACCCCGCCGCCCAGGAGACGTCGAACTGGCTCCCGAACTTCCTTAGTCTCTGAAACGTCTGTTCCTGGTACGCTCTCACTAATAATGAGAACACTGTCTCAACTCTTAAACCAAGACAAGAATACTGTATTAGCTCTTAACCGTAATAGAAAATTGTTTCACTGTTTTCTTACCATGACTAGAGAAACATTCTTCTATTAAGGTTTACTTAGAAATACTACTTCACCCACTTACGCAGAGAAAAACATAATTTCGGGATACATAGAAACGGACTTGGCCAGTTTAATACGTCAAGAAACACAAATCAATGTAATCTGAATTATTTTATGTGGTTGAGAAAATTTTTTTGCCTGTTTGTAATAAGAGATCAGTCACTAGTAGACTGAGGCTCTTCAGACGACAGTAGTATCAACTGGTTATATTTCCAAAGACCCAACATTTAGTATATGCATTTTAAGTTTGCATAATCCATTATAATGTTCTTTACCATTATACAAATAACTTTGATGGTTTGGATTATTATTAGCTGTCTACCAGCAAATAACAAGGCAAATCGTTCAACAGTGCAGGCATTTAGTTTACAAATTGTCATTTAAATAGTTAACAAGGTATCATGTAAATTTTATTGAATTTTCAGTGCGGTGGTTCATGCTGTCGTAATTTATGTGTAGTATCAAATAGGTTTTCACTTCCCCTTCCCCTTCCCCTTTTGTACTTGTCCCAGCTGTTGCCTTTGTACGACTCTCAGGCCGCCGGAGCCGAACACGTAGAGCTACGAGCACAACAACGTAACACACTGGCCAGTGGGACAAATAACCCCACGGGGAGACAAAAGAAACCACGAGTACTATGTTATTTCTGCCTTAAAGAGGGCATCAGTATCAAACCGAAATATATAGTACTCGTCTTATTTTCTGTTCTATTTCATTATTAGTTTATTTGTACTATTAGGCCTGTGATTTCATGTCCCTCGCCTCGCATCCCTTTCTTGTGAAAACAAGGCATGAACCACCCTGCAGCAGGTCTCAGCATGACCAGCCTGTTCTTCCTCAGGCGCAGATGATGCGTCTCCCTACTCCACCCTGGGGGCGGAGGGTGGGTGTGACGTGGTTCCTACCCCGTGGCCCAGGAGCCGTCGCTCTTGCTCCTGGGCCTCCTTGGTTTCGGAGTCATCAGTTCCTGGTACGTCCCGCATGCCACCCGCTCACCCACTTCATGTAACCCACATTTCACCCACCACTCCTCATACACACGTCACGTACCACTTTTCATACACACATCACCCACCACTCTTCATACACTATACACAGCGAGGGATTGCTACTATTTCTAGCCTAATCACACAGACTATGTGACTTGGCCAGGTGTTCAGGGCACGCTATCCAGGTACCCAGGACTACCCTAGTCACATATCAGGGCCACCATGGCCACGTGTCCAGGGCCAGTCGTGCCACAGCCTAGAAGAGGAAAAAATCAAGAGAAAAAGTGTCTTCAGCACCACACCTCAACCAGGCCTCAGTTGAGGTGTGATGTTCATGGTTTGTAAGGAGAAAGGAAGGCGAATGAAAGTCATAATACCATAACTAAAGAAATTCGCAAGTAACCGCAAATTGAGTGAAAAGTCAACGAATCGAAACGTCGTTAGATTTTCGTTTCCAATTTGTGGTATAGTTGTGACACAGGAAGATGACATATGCGAACACAGTATTGTTCTTGTTGGTGTTGCTTTGCCTTCATTGATCTCTGTAGATGAGAACACGTAAACTTTACTGTTTGTTGTACTTCATTTAGCGGCTTGTGACAAACAACACTAATGCCATGTATAGATTTGCAAAACGCTCTTAGGCTAGTACAGTACCTGCATATTTTTAAGGTGTTGGCAGAAATTTCTTTGGGCCAACCCTCCATTATCTAGTGTGAATGCTGATGTTAATTTGTCACTGAATGTTGTTGTAGCCTAATTAACAGACAACTTTACTTCTGGCGTTGGGCTACACTTGCCACCTGGGTGCTCGTTCTTACTGTTTCAAGAACCCAGGAATATTGTAGCATAGGTGCGTGTGCAAAAGTTCCACGATGATAACACAATTGGTCTTGCCTCTAGGGTGGAGCCCGACCCCCGCCCGCCGGAGGAAACGGCAGAGGACGGAAGGTAATGATGGATCCTATGTCCTTACCTCTCTCCTTCCCTCCACGTTACCTAACTTGTGCCAAAGCTAAGCTGATTCCCACCTGATATACAGGCGCCTAGCCTATTGAACTGGTTTGCATATTTAATTTAATGAGTGACCAGCTAGTAGGTTCAATCATGTCTTACTTGTGGACAAAGATACTTGTGTACAACTCAGGACATTTATTAAAGGTTTAACTTTTTTAACGTTCTGTCGAAAGTGACTTCAGTAGTTCACTCATGGCGAAACGTTTTCTTTAACAAATGTTCTGAACTGTATGTGTGTGTCTGTGAACAGGTTGGCAGTATCACCATACTACTTAAAACCATTTATCTTAATTTCTAGCTTGTATAATGGGATGCTAGCATGTCCACTATTAACTGAATTTTCAGCTAATGAGTTGCCAGCTGACAGCTCTAGTATTTGCTAATTTTAAGCTGAGAATGAGTAGATAATTCGAAATTTATCGAGGTTTCTATAGAATTTTCAATTTATTTCCCTACAAGCTAGATAATGAGCACCTGACTACTAAAGTCCATGTTTGCTAATGAATTACTAAAACAGATGAAGCTTTAGCCAGTCAAAGAATTGTGACTGGTTTAATGTATGGTGGATAATTTCTGCAGCTATGTAATCAAGGCCTGTTTCAACAGCTCATTACTCATTTTACAGTTTAATCTTTGGTCACTGATAGAGATTTAATGGAGAGCTAACTGATATATCCTTCGCTAACCGGTAGCAAATGTTATACTTTGTCGTTCTTCGTCCTCAGCTGAATTTACTTAATTACAAGTGAATTTTGTTAATAAGATGTATATCCTGCGTATTTTGTGGCCTCCTTAATAGGAGTTGTTGTACTGCATGATGGTGCGGTCCTTACCTGGTCTGCTGTCCCATACCATAACATGTGATAGGCTCACATGTCTGCATGGAGACCACTCCTCTAGCCAGTGACCGTGTCACGGCGTGGTTGCTGCTTCCTGCTTATTTATGAAGTGCTAAACCCACTCCTGGTGGAGGCTCGTTCCTCCTAATTGTTACTCATGCGCTACTTAAACGTATTCGTCTAATTCTCTTGCTGCCAGTGAAAGTGTTCCATTTTGTCCTCCCCTGCATTGCTGTTCTCTGTTATAAATGAATCATTATGAAATTATCTGTGTCAGTCTTGCTGGAAATTACGGTGTGCTTGGTGTGCTGCTACATACAGCTTGATGTGTTGCTTCATTCAGATAGTCCAAATTCGCCTGTTCGAGTTTTATTTTTAATGCTGTGAGTTTTTTATTAAATTCCTCACGTTTTTAACTCGTTTGGTAGCATTTAATATTTTGAAGTGTCGGCAACTGTTTATTAATAAACATTGATACATATTTTTGCCCTTTTTTATTTCTAACGTAGCTGTACCAGGATCTTACAGCAGACACGTGGTTTCAGTACTAAAGTTTCCAACATAACACAGAACGTTCTCTGAACCCAGGTAACTAACGAATAATCAAGTATGTGTGTGTTGTCCTTGGTGTAACAGCTGCCCCTGATGCCATGGAGCTGGAGGAAGATGCAGAGGACTTCCCCACAGCTCCTCCCCGCAGCAGCAGCCGCCGATCTGCATCACAGGCGTCGACGGTGACTTCAGAGACACAGTGGGGGGTGGAAGCAACCTCGCGTGCCACCCCGCCCGCTTCTGACGTGGCTGACATCGACAACGCCCAGGCAGCCCCAGATAGCACACCCTCGCCTGCAACATCGGGCGGTGAGTACTTCCCATATTCTTCAGTCCTTGGTTAATCTGTTATCACAGTCCCATATCCTGTAGATTTATTTGATAGGTTGACATACTTGAATCAGTTTAAGCAGGGTGTCTTGACGCAGGTGAAGGATTTCATCCAAGGAGTTAAATCTATCCTCACATTCAAACCGATTATCCTCCATTCCCCCATGCATTGTATGATCCCTACGAGTTTAGTGTTTCCTCGTGAATATAATAGCAACAGATTGAATTGGGTTTAACAGTGACAGTTAAAATTCTAAGGAGTTGGTACACCTGTGATGCTCTTTACTCAAAATTCATTGTTTATATTTTCGTGGATGGTAAAGTGTGAGTTTCAGGATACACGAGGATATATTGGCTCCGTAAATAATGTTGCGCCTCTGTCACATCACAAGGAAATCTCTAGTAACAGGATAGAAAGAGAAACCAAATTTCACTTACCTTTCAATATTTGGTTATCTTTCCGTGTGTTTTGATTACTATTTTCAGGCAGTGAGGCATAGAATCAGTTTTTTAAAGTAAGTAGAGTCCATTTATAGAATCCAGAAATATTTTTTTTCTCTTGCGTCAAGCGTGACACTGATGATGTGATTTTGGAATGAAGCTTTTCTTTCATTTAATTCCAACAGTTTTTGATGGAATTCAGGTCAGGGCTATTCCATGGCCTTGGATTATATTAATACTGTTCTCTTAATTTGTTTTGACATGTGGCAGCTGGCATTATCTTGCATAAAGTGTGCACCCTACTCTGTATGAAAGTACACTGTTTAAATACTATATGTAATGTGTCTACATTGTTGGAATACTTTATGTAATGTGTGGCTCTCCTGCATTATGTGAGAGTATGGGAAAACCCACAGAATACTGGCTACACTATTCTGTATGTGAATTACGTAATGGGAACAAAAATTACATACGGTTCCGTTTCATATTGCATCACACATGATGGGTTTCATACATATGGTAGTAAAATCTGTGCTCTTGCGAGCAGACTTCAGTAGGCCAATGAGAGTATCAAGTATTCTACCATGGGTTTATTACCTGTTCATATAACATCAATAGCTGCTGAAATAAGTGAAATAACATCCAAGCTAGCAGTTAGGACATAGTGGCTTCAACAAGATCTCAGATCCACCACAAACTGGGCAAAGTAATATTTGCAGCGCCCACCAACTGTGACCCCACACTCCAAGCCTTGACAGAATCCTTCCTCCACCATAACAAAAATCAGTATAGCCCTTGTCCCCATCTGCTACAAATGATAGCAGATGAGAACAAGAACTGGTTAGAAAGTGTAAACACATAAAGTGCAGGGTAACAGGGGCGGGGAGGCGGACGCCTAGGAGCTCCAGGGTGACGGGGGCGGGCAGATGGACACTAAAATGAATAAGACACTGATTTTTATTGTGGAAACGCTTCGCCAGCCAGTGGCTTCGTCAGTGCAGTGCAGAAAAGAAGATATGGAAGCTGTGAAGAAGTTTGAGGTAATCAGTCCTTCAGCCTGGAGATGGTGTTCAGTTCATCAGTTTTGATCAAAGTACAGCATATGCTCGAAGAGGTTTATATACTGGAGACAGGTGAGGCGAAGCAGTTGGAGGCGGCGTCACAAGCGGAGAAAATCCTCTGGCGGAACATCTTGGAATCTTGATGCTGCGAATTCTTTAACGCTTGCCTAACCTATTGTTGTGACTTTCACTAGTGGATTTTGTCTACCACTGACACCGCCTCCAACTGCTTTGCCTCACCTCCCTCCAATATTTAAACCTATTTTCTGTGCATATGATGCACTTCTATCAAGACTGATGGACTGAACATATCTCCAGGATAAGGGACTGATTGCCTCAACCTCCTTATATTCCACCACTTTTTCTCTGTATCGGGCTGATGAAGTCACTGGCTGGTGAAACGTTTTCACAGTAAAGTTGCACAAGTGTTATTTCTATGAAACCTACGTTCTCCAGGATGACAGGGGCAGGACGACAGACCCAGGAAAGCCAGGGTGAACTGGGCGGGCAAACAAAATATACCCAAGGGCATCAGGGTGATAGGCGATCACAAGAGATGCCCAAGTGCATCAGTGTGATAGGTGGCTACAAGGGATGCCCAGTGACACCAGGGTGACAGAGGCGGCCACTAGAGATGCCCAGGGACACCAAGGTGACAGAGGCTGGCTGCCAACCTACTTAAACTGAGTGTTAAAAAAACGTAAAATGTAGCTGTGGTAGACAGGTGTAACGCTGGTGACGTCACTGGCAGAATTGTGCACCTGTCCGCCTATAATAAGACACATTGTACACACGACACAGTAGCGAAAACCACTGTAAATCCTGCCTTTTGTGTGGCTGCTGATCCATGGCCCCCTTCACACAATGTTATTAATGCACACTTGTGTAACTGTAACTCTTCTTCAAAATATGTCGTTCGTTTTCAACTCATTTATGTATGGTCAGTTTATGAGCAATCTTGGGGTCTTGCAAAGTTTAATACTAAATTAAGTTAGATTATGTTTACTTAAATTTACTTATAATTAATCGCTAAGAAGATTACATAAACGGGAAGGCCTGACAGTGGGCGACACAAGACATTGTATGATACGAAGACTACCTGAAATTATTGAGCTGATCACTCGATCGTCCTTCCCTATACAGTTCTATATGTTAAAAAATGCACGTTAAACTGTTAATAATCAAAGTTTAAGCAAGGTATTTTCTGTATTTTCTTAAAACTCGTTGTCTTTTTTGTTATGATTAACTTAATGGCCCTCCATCATTAATCACTGTCTAGAATGATACGAAATTGTCAGATTTTTTTTTTATTTTTCATATGCAGAGTACAGTGCTTATATTCTGAAGGAGGGTTAGGAAGTTGCGGTTTGGGGAGTCATTTCACTAGTGGTGATCGCACACTTCTGGCAAGACAGCTATGAATGAATGATGGGGAATGTGCTTTCTTCTTTGCGTCATTCTATTTTTGATGGGAAACGACCGATATGGCAAAAAATACACAAATATTTATTTTATTATATGGTGTGATGGACATGATATTCCTAGTCATTTTACTGCCAAAGTTGCTTTTTTGACGTATTTAATAGCCAATTGCGAATTTTAAGGCTGAATATTTAAGCACTGTTGTTCTTGAATGCTTGCTACTATCACTGCTGTACCTTTAGGTACCTTATTGTCTGGCCTTTCATTGCAGATATCCCTGCGATGACACATCCATGACGTTACAGCGGGTCGTCTGCAGGGGTCAAAGTTTTTGTATCAAAATAAAAGTCAGTACCAGAGTAGAAGTTACTCACGCAAAATCAGAGCTTCACTAGTTGGAGATTACGTGTTAAGTAGCGTAGCATCGTAAGCTTCAGGGGTTATTAACTTGCCTTATAAGTGCCGCATGCGGTCTCCTAGACCCTTCATGCGGGAAAGGGGGGGGGGTACCTTGAAGACCTTTAATGAGTTATTGGGAGCTAAGAAATTATAAATTCTAGTAGTTTTAAATTTCACGCGATGCTATATGATGTTCAAGGATATTATTTCAAATTCAGCCTAGTTCCGCCTTGAATATATACATGGTTTGCACGTTGTCCCGTCAATGGAGTTGTTCGTATGAAAGATGATCATAAAGAGAAGACGTTGCGTATTCGAAGAAAATGATAAGTATTATATTCCAGACTGCAGTAATATCAATAATAACTACAACTTACGCATATCATGTTTTGATAAGAGTAAATTAAACTTAAAGCGAGAGGCATGTATGTCATGGCAAGATACGATGTTACACGTTTATAGTTACCTTGCTTCTTGAGTAATGCATACTTAAAAAAATATGCGGAAAAAAATGTACCTATAAGTATAGGGTACAGTTCTTAACAGTTACTCTGAAAAATAAATTCACGGATGTAAGTAGAATTATATTTTAAGTTTTATGAGAGATTTTCTAACTTAAACTGATATTGCATTTTGCTATATTAAGCCTCATTATTCATTTTCCATACAAGTGAGAAGCGGAAATTTATGTTTGTTTTTCTTTTGTTGTTTTCAGAGTTCGGTCGTTATCGCACATTTATATTACGACGTAGCTCACATACACAAAAAATGTATGAGGTGATCCAGATGTGTGTTCACCAATATCCTGTGGTACGAGCATATGTAACTTGTACCAGGCATTGGGCATTATGCGTCATTTGTGTCACGTGACGGGATATCTGTTAGGCATTTGAGACACATGCCACGAATTTTTATTTTTTTGAATTCATGTGTCACCTTTTGTCGAGTAATGGGGCCTTATGTGTCATTGACGGGCCCTGTATCTCACTGCTTTGTGATTGGGCGTCATGTTTCATATGCAGGGCGTCACTATGGGGTTCATTTATTTCTTGTATTTAGTGATGGGTCCGGGGTCACAAGTAAATCTTTTTTCAAATACCTCCTTTGTGACACCATGAAGAATGTCCTAGAGAAATTCCGAAGTCACACATTTGCCGGTACTCTTCTAAAATTGAAAAAAAAGTAGTTGTCTTTATTGCTTTTGAAATTTATGATATATATGTATGTGAAAATCAGTTATACATGACCCAAAAATATAACTCAAAGTGTGGATATAGAGTAATGAAAACGAGAATTTGCTTGTAAATGTTTAACGTTTCATTAATAGCATTTATAATACTTTATAAAGTCAGTTTGCACCATATATATTTAGCTTTGGCGACAAAATTTGGCAGAGAATATTGTTTATTATAGTCCTTCCTTAATATATGTATATCTCTGTTAAGGACCAGAAAAAACATAAATAAAAAATAAATCTTGTAGCAAGGAAGGTGTTTGGGAATGACATTGGTTGCCAGTCGTAAAACGTTGAACACAAAGTCGAATTATGCAGAGTTGAGGCAATATGAACAAAAACCTATCATCTTTCGCTCACTAGTTAAATATGACTTCAAGGAGCTCTGAGTCACCTCGCAGTGGTCGTATTTTTTTTTTTTT